GGGAGAAGGGAGAGCTTAAGGAAATGGGGAGTTAGAAGGAAGTGAGAAGAAGAGAAAGGGAAGGTACGGGAATAAAGGAAGGGGATACGGAAGGGAGGAAATGTAGAAGTGAAGAGAACCGAAACGAGGGATTAGGAAGTGAGGGAAGAGAAGGAGAAAGCTCAAGAAACTGGAGAAATGAGAAAAAAATGCGAGAGGAAAGCGGGGAGAGGCTAGAAGACAGATCACAGGAGATGAAGAACAGACAAAAAAAAAAAAGAGAGAAGGAGAGGAGAAAGAAAAAGAGACGTAGTGGAGTCGCAAAGGAGAGCCAGTGGGCAACAGACAGCTGGTACGGGACAGGTGGAGCGAGGTCCTAGGCGCGGAAGACCAGAGATATGGGGCGAGATAAGGGCTTTGTGTGACAGCTGGACCCTTCAGGAGGCGGGCGGTGTGACGTAAGGAGGAGGTAGGAGGAGGAGACAGGAGGAGGGAGGAGGAGGAGGAGGAGGAGGAGGAGGAGGAGGAGAGGAGGAGAGGAGGAGGAGGAGGAGGATCGGGAGGAGGAAGGAGGAGGAAGAGGAGGAGGAGGGAGCAGAGGGAGGAGGGAGGAGGGAGGAGGGAGGAGGAGGAGGAGGAGGCAGGAGGCAGGAGGGAGGAGGAAGGAGGAGGAGGAGGAGGGAGGAGGATCCGAAGAAGGAAAGGAGGAGAAAGAGGAGTAGGGGAACCCAAAGGAAAACTTGTAGGAAGAGGAGGAGGAAGAAACGGAGAAGGAAGAAATGGAAGAAGGAAGGGGGAGAAGGAGAGAGTGATGGCGCAGATCACGACGGTAGGACAAACAGGCTGATTAGAAGCGAAAAAAGGAAGGCAAGGAAGGGAAGATAAGAAAGGAATAGGAAGAAGGAGGGAAAAAGACGGAAAAGGGAAGAAGGAGAAGGAGAAGGAAGAGGGAATAGGAGGAGACGGATGGAAGGGGAAGGGGAAGAGATGGAGAGAGACGAAGAGGAGAGAAAGGGAAGGAGGGGAAGGAGGAAAGGGAGAGACGAAGAGAAGAGAGGGAAAGAAAAGGAAGAAAGGAAGGGAAGAAATGGAAAAGGAGAGAGGAAAGGAAGGAAGGTAGGGGAGGGGAGGGATGGGGGGGGGGGAAGTAGAGTCTCGTTTTCTACATTCCTTTCCACCTTTTTACGTCTATTTCTACACGTTCTTTATCGCCGTGTGTATCTTCCTCCGCATCTGCTCATTCGTCGTTTCCGTCACTCCTTTATTTCTGACTTTCTCTGCCCCTTTCATCTATTTTTTTATCAACTGTGCTTCTCCCCCCCTCTCTCTGTCTGTCTCTCTCTTTCTTTATCTCTCTCTTTCTCACACCTTCTCCTTCTTCTTCAACCTCTTCTTCTTCTTCTTCTTCTTCTTTTTCTCCCTCTTCTTCTTCTACTTCTTCTTCTCCTTCTGTCTCCCTGTTCTTCTACTCGTCTTCGCTATTTCCTACTTCCTTTGTAACCTCCTGCTTCAATTACGTGTCCTTCATCTTTCTCTCTCTTTTTTTGTATTCTCCATATTTTTTCTTTATTTCGTTTCGTTGACAGAAAAAAAAAAAAAAAAAATCTTTCGCATATGCGACCCAGACGAGACAAGTTCGTGTTAGGGGCGTAACCCTCTGACAACTCGACACGCAATTATAGACTTTTTTGTCCCTTGGCTTAAGGGTGGGTATAGAATTTATGGATAATTACCTCTCTCGTCCTGCAACGGGGCTAGAAATAAAGAACGGGGAGGAGGAGGAGGAGGAGGAGGAGGAGGAGGAGGAGGAGGAGGAGGAGGAGGAGAGGAGGAGGAGGAGGAGGAGGAGGAGGGGAGGAGGGGAGGGGAGGAGGAGGAGGAGGGAGGAGGAGGAGGGAGGAGGAGGAGGGAGGAGGGGGGAGGGGAGGAGGGGGAGGAGGAGGGGGAGGAGGAGGAGGAGGAGGAGGAGGAGGAGGAGGAGGAGGAGGAGGAGGAGGAGGAGGGAGAGGAGGAGGAAGAGGAGGGGGAGGAGGAGGAAAGAGGAGGGAGGAGGAGAGGGAGGAAGGAGGAGGGGAGGAGGAGAGGAGGAGGAGGAGAGGAGGAGGAGGGGAGGAGGAGGAGGAGGAGGGGAGGAGGAGGAGGAGAGGAGAGCAAGTACGCGAAGAGAAGAAGACGGAGAAGGAGGAGGATAAAAAGGAAGAAGAAAGTGGAAGAGAAGAATAAGAAGAAATAGCAGAAGAAGAAGAAGAAATGAGAAGCAGATGCAGAAACAGCAGCAGAAGAAAAATGAAAAGAAGGGGCGGGATAATGAGTTAAAAGAACGAGAAGGAGAAAGAGGGAGGAAAAAGGAAAAACAAGAAACACGAAAAAAAAACACGAAATCGATTATCAATCCAAAAATTTCGTCATATTTACAACAAATTTTCGTGTTCATTCCAAAATGCATTTTCCTTTTTTCCCTTCTTTTCTCTTCTCTCTCCCTCTCCCTCTCTCCCCCTCTCCCCTACACCCCTCTTCCTCCCCCTACCCCCCTCTCCCTCTCCCCCCTCCCTCTCCCCCTCCCCCCTCTCCCTCTCCCTCTCTCTTTTCGTCTTATTTACAACAAATTTTCGTGTTCATTCCAAAAATGCATTTTCCTTTTTTCCTTCTCTCTCTCTCTTTCTCCCTCTCCCTCTCCTCCTCTCCTTCCCCTCTCTCCTCTCTCCCCCTACCCCCTCTCCCCCTCCCTCTACCCCCCTCTCCCCCTCCCTCTCCCCCTACCCCCCTCTCCCTCTCTCCCCCTACCCCCTCTCCCTCTCCCCTCCCCCCTCTCCCTCTCCCCTACCCCCTCTCCCCTCCCCTACCCCCTCTCCCTCCCCCCACCCCCACCTCTCCCTCTCCCTCTCCCTCTCTCTTTTCGTAATTCGTTCTGCCTATAACGTAGTCGGGAGATTATAGCACACTCTGGGCGCAACTCCGACATCATCATCAGACCCAAAATGCCAAAACAATTTACGTTGCGATTCATAAAAAAATAAGTAAGAGTGAAGTTTACACATCTCCTTCCCGTCTCTCCGCTGATGATGTTATTTTCATCTTCATTCTCGTACAAAATCTGGAGATCAGCTGTTTTTTTTTTATGAGATCAGCTGTTTTTTATGAGATCAGCTGTTTTTATGAGATCAGCTGTTTTTATGAGATCTGCTGTTTTTTTTTTATGAAAATGAATATCAGGTGTATAAGAGAATGACTCCTTCTTGCAGATTAGACCCGAGAGTGAAATTGTTTCTCGTAAATATAAGAAAATCGCCCGAGAAGTTTCTCATCTTGGCGCCGCTCGGAGTCCTCTGACGAAGTTTGTGGTGTATGTTTTAAAGTTTTTTTTTCTCGTTCCTTCTCTCTCTCTCTCTCTCTCTCTCTCTCTCTCTCTCTCTCTCTCTCTCTCTCTCTCTCTCTCTCTCTCTCTCTATCTCTCTCTTTCTCTTTATCTCATTTTTTTTCTCACTTCCTCTCTGCTCTCGCTCTCACTTTTTTTCTCATTTTTCTTCCCTCTCTCTCTCTTTAACTCTTTCTCCCTTTTCCCCCTTTTCTCTCCCTTCCCTTTCCCCATCTTCCCTTCCCCAATTTCCTCTCTCCCATCCCTTTCCCCCTTCTCCTTCCTCCTCCTCTACTCCTCCTTCCTTCCCCCTATCCCCCACCCTGTCTCTCCATACCTACCCCTCTCCCCTCCCCCCTACCCGACCAAGTAAGTCAACTTTGTCGCGTAACAAAAAACAATGGCTCTTTCAGTCTCTCAGGAAATATATGTGGTATCACTGTATGGTCGTTTGTACTCTCCCATTTCTCTCTTCCGCCCTTCCTTTTTCCTCTTTTCTCCCCATCCCCCCCACCTCCCCTCTTTATTCAAACAAACCCCTACCTTTTCCCCTCTTCTAGGTTTTGTTTGGCTTTCAGTCTCTCTATATTTATCACTATTTTGTACTCTCCCATTTCTCTCTTCCGCCTTCCTTTTTCCTCTTTTCTCCCCCCCCCACCTCCCCTCTTTATTCAAACAAACCCCTACCTTTTCCCCCTCTTCTAATCTACATCGTTGTTTTATCCCCCACATACTTTCTCTCCCTTTTTTACTCATCTATCTCCCTCTCCCCCTTTTCTTCCCCCCTTTTCTACGTCTTCATCACCTCCCTTTTTCCAAACTTTCTCGCAATAAGGAATATCCTTTGATTTCCTCGGTCGAGTCCTTCCTCTCCCCCTTTTTACTCATCTATCTCCCTCTCCCCTTTTCTCCCCCCTTATCTACGTCTTCCTCACCCTCCCCTTTTTCCAAACTTGCAATAAGGAATTCCTTTTGATTTCGGTCGAGTTTCTCTCCCTTTTTACTCATCTATTCCCTCCCCTTTTCTTTTCCCCTCTTATCTACGTCTTCATCACCCTCCCCCTTTTTCCAAACTTGCAATAAGGAATATCCTTTGATTTCCTCGGTCGAGTCCTTCGTCTCTAACTCCATTATGGTGGCATGAAAGTGCTATCCATCCCTGAGGTAGCCTGATGGAGATTGAGGGATACATTATGCATATTTGACGCCCCTATCGCCAAGTCCTGTGTGGTGTGTGTGTTGTGTGGTGTGTGTGTGTGTGTGTGTGTGTGTGTGTGTGTGTGGTGGTGTGTGGTGTGTGTGTGTGTTGGTGTGTGTGTTGTGGTGGTGTGTGTGTGTTTCTTGTTATATTTTATTTTTCTTGTATTTCCTTTTCATTTTTCCATTTCATTCTTCTTCTTAATTTCTTGTCTCTGTCCTCTATATCTCGTTTTCTTTGTAATATCTATATCGTGTTTACATCTATTTCTATATATTCATCAACTGCTTACCTACCTCCCATCCTACGAATATACAATCACACACACACAAACCCCCCCACCCCAACACCACACAACCAACCCTCCCCCCCACACAACCCCCCTTCCCACCCACCACCCACACAACCCCCCCCACACACACACCTCCCTCTCATTCCCCCAACCTCCCTTCCCCTCCTCCCACCTACCTTCACCAGATCGTCCTGCGTGTTGAAGTCCTTATTACACTCCTTCCAGTGGCAGTGCGTCTCGATGAAGTCCGGCGGCTCCTCCTTGAGTCCATCGTCGTCCCTGGCAGCTGCACTCACGCCCCCGGTCCCGCACGCCCCCGCTGAGGTAGTGCTCGACGCCTCCTTCTTCACCTTGGAGGCCTTGTCTTCCTCCATCGTGCTGGAGATCGTCGGGGACGCCTTCTTCTCGCCCTGGGGGGGGACAAGGAGGAGGAATCTGGTTAGGAATGAAGTTGGGAATTTGGGTAGGAATGGGGAGGATTCGGGTGGAATGAGGTTGGGAATGGGAGCATTTAGGTTAAGAATTGGTTGGAAATTTGGGAAGGAATTGGTTTGAAGGAATTTGGGTAGGAATGGGAGAATTTGGTTAGGAATGGTGGGAAGGATTTAGATAGGAGTTATTAGGAATTGGGTAGGAATAAGATTTGGAATTTTATTAGGAATAGGAAAGGAAGGTTGGTAATGGGTTAGGAATAAGGTTGGTAAAGAAGGAAGGGTGTTCCTTATCCTCGCTGCCATGCTGTTCGCGAGGGACAAGGAACAAACACTATCTATCGTTCTCATGACTTCTATTTTATCATTCTCATGACCTTTTTATTTCTCTTTACCCTCATGACCTATCTTTCTTTTCTTTTTACTCTCATGACCTATTTTTCTTTCTACTTTCATGACCTATTTCTTACTTTCTACTCTCATGACCTATTTTTTTCTTTTACTCTCATGACATTTTTTCTTTTTATTCTCATGACCTATTTCTTTCTTTTACTTTCATGACCTATCATTTATATATATTTTTTTACTCTCACGACCTATTTCAAGCCCCGAGCCCTGGAGAGCGCGCGGCGGGAGTGCTTACCAGCTTGAGGTGCCATACCTCAGCCTTCGGGGGCAGGGGCGGGAGGCTCGGCTGCGAGGAGAGCGAGAACAGGCTCTGGTGGGTGGCCAGGGTGGAGGGGCTGTGCTGCAGGAGGGGCGACGGCGCCAGGAACGGGGACCCGGGGAGCGACGCCCCCCGCATCAGGTGGGCCTGCAGCTGCTGGAGGTGCGTCGCCGCGCCCACGGAGGGGTGGACGCCCAGCGCGGGGGAGATGGCTCCTGAAGAAGGCAATCAGACAATTAAGATCAATGAAAAGAAATACAATGGATGAAGATATAGAGACATGTATATACATATATAAAAAAAAAACCTTGAAAATAAATATAATGGATAAAGATATATGGAAATATATATAAAAAAAAAACACCCAAGACACAGAGCCCCATCGCACACTAACCTGCAGACAGATGGCCGTAGGACCCGCTGGCCGACGAGGATCTGGACCCGTTCATGATGGACACGAGGGAGTTGGGGCTGAAGCGGATCATGGAGTTGATGTCGAAGGAGTCGCTGTAGGGGGACGAGGACAGCGCTCGCTTCCGGCTCTGGCGGAGGCTCGGCCGGGGGGATGTGAGCCGCGACCCTGGGGGGAGAGAGGGGGAGAAGGGGGGTTAGTCGTGTGAGGGAAGTGGGGAGGTGGGGGGAAGTGGGGGAAGTGGGGGGTGGGGCGAAGTGGGGAAGTGGGGGATGTACATAAATAAATACAGATGTGCTGCATGGTGTCGTGGTAGCGTTGTTGTCTGGCAATCTTGTTGACCAGCGTTCAGTTCCCGTGCACTGTCGGTGGATGGCAACCCCGGCCATTCCTCGCACACAGGGGGCAGTTTAGAAGCACAATAAACAGACAAGACAGAACTTGACAGATGTCACAAGAGCCTGTCACAGCAAACCCTAAATCATCATCATATTTATTATTATTATTATTATATTATTATTATTATTATTATTATTAAATATATACAAACATACACAGAGACTCGTATGTCTGTCCATAATCTCGAGAACCACAGTATCAACACAACAACAAAAGCACAAAACCAACAAGACGAAAAAAAATACAGACTTAAGAAGACGGTAAAAAACAAGACCAGCAGAAAGAAGACAAGCAAGCCTTAGGAACACGGAATAAAGAAGAACAGACGTAAAAGAGAGAGAGAGAGAGAGAGAGAGAAGAGAGAGAGAGAAAGAGAGAGAGAGAGAGAGAGAGAGAGAGAGAGAGAGAGAGAGAGAAACACACAGAGGTCATAATGCGCTCGCTTCCGGCACACCCGAGCGACCCCCCCTTCCCCTTCCCCCTCCCCCTCCCCCCCCCTCCCGCCCACCGCACCCCGATGAGCACCCACCTCACGCAGCCTGTCTAACAATAACAACAACTTGATAAATCACTTATTGCCAATCTAAATCATGTTGATCGCTATCGTCGGGACCGCGGACTGTGTTGTCTGGGGATGCTGCGCCAGATCGGGAGATGAAATATGAAAAGCGATGCCCTCATGCGTCGGGAGATAGGGCGCGTGATTTGAGGCCGGGATGCTGCCATAATTATGCGAGATAGTTATGCTACACAGGCCGTGGCGGGCGGGGAGGTGTGTATCGCGGCCTGGAGGATGCTGCGGGAGGCGAAAGGAGGAGAGAGAGGAGAAGAGGAGGGAGAGAGAAGTGTGAGAGATGGATTGGTTGCTGGTCCGCCTCCGAGGCATGGCCGGCGGGGGCTTATACATCACCTATCTTGCGACCCCCATGTCTTCCCCATTTCCATATCTTACCCAAATTTCTACCTCCAAGGTCCTCTCCTCCGCCCAGCCTCCAGCCTCCTCCTTCTTCCTACTTTCCAGCCTTCTGCATCCCTCTGCTTCTATTATTCTCCTCCTCAGCGCTTCCTCCCTTTTTCCCTCATCCCTGACCCCTTCACCATCCCTTACCTCTTCTCCCCCTTCTCCTTTCTTCTCCTCACCCATCCCCCTTCTCCTCCTTATCCCATCCTCCTTCACCATCCCTCATCCCTTACACCCATCCCCTTCTCCCCCTCCCCCTCACCCACCCCTCTCCACCCTAATCTCTCCCTCCCTTCCCTAACCCTCCCCTCTCCTCTTACCCTATACCCTCTCCCCTTACCCCTATCCCCTCTCCCCCTTACCCAACCCCTCCCCTTCCCCTATCCCCTACCCTCTCCCCCTTCTCCCTCCGCCCTAGATCGGCCCAAGAGATAGGCTGGCTGTCACCCTAACAAATTCATCAGGGCTCGGGACGTGGCCGGGGCTGCAGCGGGGAGGACGCCGTGTAAATAAGGTGCATGAGATCTCCACTTGGATAAGGTACAGGGGAGTGGGGGGGGGGGGCACATGGGAGGGGGAGGAGGATAGGTGAGGGGGGGGTGAGTACAGGGAAGGGGGGTGGGGGAGAATAGGAGAGGGGGGTGAGTACAGGGAAAGTGGGGGGATAGGTGAGGAGGGTGAGTGCAGGGAAGGGGGGGGAGAATAGGAGAGGGGGTGAAGGGGGTGAGTAGAGGGGAGGGGAGGGGGGAGGAGATAGGAGAGGGGGGTTGAGTAGGGGAAGGGGTGAATGAGAGGAGTAGAGGGATAGGAGGATGAGCAGGGGAGGGCACAGGGGATGGGAGAAGAATAGGAGAAGCATAGGAGGAGAGCACAGGAGAGGGGGAGCGCAGAGAAGAGGGGAGGGAAGAGGAGGGGTAGGGGTGTGAGAGGGGAAAGGGGTAGAGGTAAGGAAGGGGAATAGGGATAGGAGAGGAAGGAAGAAGGGAAAAAGGTTTAAGAGGATAGAAAGGCAGGGATCGAGGGATAGGAGTGCAGGAGGACAGAGATGGAGGGACAGGGAGAGGGAGGAAAGAGATAATAAAGAAGATATAGAGAAATAACAGATGAAAAGAAATAAAGGAAGAGAGAGAGAGAAGAGAAAGGAGTAAACAGTATGGATTTAATTAAAATAAAAGAGGAAGAAGACACACTATGAGGATCTACATGGGAGGGGAGAGGGAAAGGGGGGGAGGAGGAGGGGACAATGAGATAAGAGGGGAGGGGGTGCTGGTGGGGAAGGGGGAGGTAGGGGGAGATCGCAACGTACCCTGGGGAATGCACGAGCTAACATCTAACGAAGGAACAAAGTGTATATGCAAAATGATGTCCTGTCAAATTTTCCCTAAATTATTACGATTTTTCACCCGAAAGTAAAAAGAAAAAAAAGAAAGAAAGAAAAAAAAATCCGCCATCCTTCTGTGAAATGACATACCACATTGTTTTTTATACATTTTCATTTTTTTTTATTTTCCCTCCGACCCCGACTTAATACCCACCAACGACAAAACGACAACACCATTACTTCTCTTAATACCGTGCTCTTCATTACCACAACGTACAGATTCACGAACGAACCACCTGATATTAACTTTGATATTCAAGCTCACAGAATATAAAACCAGCCGACAAAACCTGTTCGGAGTAGCAATGATAATAATTCCCACAACAAACGCACGCATAACAAACAAACACATGCTATATATCGTCCCCCGGGTTGATGAAGGGCGGCAGACTGAGATGACAAGGTTGTATATATTATTTACCGCCATCCCGCGAGATTAGATTAGTCACCCCTTCCGACACATCACAGAGAACGGGAGAGCATAAATTGCACATTGCAAGACAAACAAATAGAATCACATTGCACGCTCTGAGACGCGTAGCCGAGGCAACAGGTATACCTTGGGGGGAAAGAAGAAGAGAGGAGGAGAGGAAGAGGAGGAAGGAGGGAGGAGGAGGAGAGGAGGAGGAGGAGGAGGAGGAGGAGGAGGAGGAGGAGGAGGAGGAGGAGGAGGAGGAGGAGGAGGAAGGAGGAGAGAGGAAGAGGAAGAGAAGAGGAAGAAGAGAGAATAAGAAGGAATAAAAAGAGGAAAGGGACAAAAGAGAGAAGAAATAAAAAAGAAGAAAAGGAAGAAGACGAAAGAAGGAAAAGAACAACAAAGATGAAAGAAAAAGAACAACCAAAGAAGAACAAGAAGGAGAAAGAAAAAGAAAAATAATATTCAAAAAGAAAGAATAAGCAAAAAACCAAAGAAAAAAGAAAGAAAGAAGAAAAAAGAGAGAAAGAAAAAAAGCCCGCGAGAACACCAAACAAGAACAATAATGTTATAAAATGAAGATTGGACCCGCCATAAATGCACTGAGGCTCTTTACAAGTGGCTGAATAAAACCTGAATTGATATCAAATGCCTGGCGACGAATTAACGGTCGTTCAGGTGAGAGATAATGCGAGGGTTGAAGCCGTATATTAGATGCGCTTTTGTTATTTCTTTTGTTTTGAAAATCTGCGTTCGATTCGTCGGGAAATGCGCGCGGGGAGGGAGTGTGTTTACGTTTTATTAGTTTTTTTTAGGGAATTGGTGGCGAGGGTGTGAAGTACGAAGGGTGGAAATGAAAGGAATTTGGATAAGAGAGGAGGGGGAGTAGGTTAAATGGAGGAATAAGCAAGGTAAGAGAATGTATATCTCTTTTTTTCACCTTCCACGCACGCACACGAACGCTCCTTCCCACGCACACATAAAACCGATCGGAACCAACACTAATGCCTCCTTACCTACACATACTTACCCTCCCTTCCCTCCCTAAACAAAATCCCTCCCCCTCCTCCCCTCCACCTTCCCCTCCCAAGCACTCGCATACTCCCCCTCCCTCCCTCCTCCAATTCCCCCTCCTCTCCCCTTCCCTCTCTGACCATAACCCCTTCCCTTCCTAAGCACTCACCCTCCCTATCCCTTACCCCCTCCCCTCTTCCTACCCCCACCCATCCTTCCAATTCCTCCTCCCCCTCCCATCTCCCCCTCCCTTCCCCTTCCCCCCCCACCTTACCCTTCTCTTCTCTCCTTCCTACCTCCCCACCCCATCCTCTTCCTCCCACCCTCCTCCCTTCTTCCACCTCCCTTCCTTCCTCCTTCCTACCTCCCCCTCCCCCCTCCTCCCCCCTTCCCACCTTCCACCTCCCCCCCTTCCCCTCTCTCCTTCCTACTCCCCCTCCCCCCCGCGCACTCACACCTCGGTGGTCCCAGAAGGAGTCTCGAAGGCGGCGCGAACATCTTCATTCCATCGCAGGAACATTCCTTGGAGTTTCTATCAAGCAAAGCCCGCTATTATCCTTCAAGGGAGGGAGGAGGGGAGGGTGGAGAGAGAGGGGAGAGAGGAGGGGAGGGAGGGGTGGGAGGGAGAGGGAGGGAGGGAGGGGTGGAGGAGAGAGGGGGAGGGGAGGGGGAGAGAGGGGGGAGGGAGAGAGAGGGGAGGTGGGAAGGGAGGGGAGGGGGAGAGAGAGGAGAGGGGAGGGGGGAGGAGGGGGAGTGACGCGGTTAAAAGCGAGTCTGAGAGAAAGATTGGAGTAAATGAGTACGCATGGGAGTTATGTATGAGTAAGAATCACACACACACGTACGTTTACACACAAGCAGACACGTACACACATGAGTAAAATCACACACACACACACCACACACACACACACACACACACACCACACACACACACACACACACACACACACACACACACAGCACACAACACACACAAACACACACAAACACAGAAT